GCCCACTTTTAGTGCACGTGTCAATGCCGAAAGGGGCGTTTGGGTGTAGGCAACTTGGCCCCCCACCTAAGATTGCGGGATCTCTTGTTTGTACGGAGATGCAAATCCATATAATGCTACTTTACTTTAATAGTCTACTCAAGTAGTGTAATATTTTGGATTAACGTGCAAAAAAAAAAAAGAAAGGTTTTGAACTAGATATTTTCTGGAGTGTTTTTAAAAAATTTTAATGTAAACAGCATATATGAAAAACTTTGATTATAAATAGTTTTGAAATAGTTAATATATTGTACAAATAAAATATTTTTATTCATATATTTTTATAATATTTTATTTGAAAATTTTATTTTGGAAAAGAATGACCAATCCAAACGGAGGGATGCATATTACAACGTTGTAACCTTTTGTTTGGATTGCTTCATATTTTTCCAATTTTATTTGCTTACATCATCTTTACAATTTCCAATACACCTTTTTATCTTTTCAATATCTTTTTATCTCACATACATCACATCACAAAAAGTGCTACAGTAAAAATATCTCAAATAATCCCAAATAACTTACAATCCAAACAGACTCCTTGATAATAACGTCAAGTATGGTGGTACGAATTTTTTTTTCTCTCTCCTTGTTATCATCTATCATCATTTCTTCCCAAATGACTTGCTGATTCTCCATCGCCGCAACGTACGGCAATAGCGGTCCGCATATTCTTCTTGCTTTGCCTTTGAAGTGCATAAGTTGGAAATTCGCAAACTACTATTCTTGGTTTTGCAGCATCTAAACTTGGCCGAGAAGTAGCTACTAGCTAGTGCTGCTCGCTAGTTTATACTAGGAAGCAATCGCCAGGCAGCAGGTAGCAACTGCTAACCCCGAGGCTCCCCCGGATCAGGGCTTCACGAATTTCAATTTAAACCAGTTTGTCCCTGAGGTGTATATAAATAGATGCATGATGTAAATAAATCTGAACAGGGCATAAACAAAAAGAATTGTGATGTTAAAAATTGGAAAATAAATATCTCTCTCCCTTGAATTGATTTGAATTGACGCTCACCCGCACGCACTCCCCTTCTCCTTCATACTCAAGCTTGAACTACTCTACCCTTTTCACAAGGCTTTGTTTTGATTGCATTTTTTTGGACTTTTTTTTTTGTAGAAAAATTACTGTAACGATTTGATAGATGTGAGATAAAAAGATTATTGGAAAAGACGTCCATGAAAAATGTAACAATTTTTTGAAAAAAAATTGCAATCCCAACACTCCTGACGAGCTTGTTTCAAGTTGAATAAAATACAGACATGAACATTTTCACTCACTAGACTGAGTTTGTTTGGATAGGAGTTTATTTGAATGATTTATTTGAAATAATTATTGTAGCATTTTTTGTGATGTGGTATATGTGAGATAAAAAGGTGATTGGGATTTGTGAGTCAAATTATTTTTTTTTCAAAACCTCTCTATCCAAAAGAGTTTTATGTTTTTGAAACAACAATCACAATATAATACGTTTTAGTTTGTTTTACGGGCTCAACCACATATCTACTATAATCTTCTTTAAATGCCACAAAATGCAAAGCAAAGCTTTGTGTCATTCGCTTTTGTCTTTTGTTCAAAATTTCAGTTTTACTTAACCATAAACTTCTTTTTTATTTCTCGTGTGTTTTGTAGAATTAAGAAGATGCGCTACAATCTGCAGGTTGCATGAAAGTGAGGCCCTTTGTCTCTCCTATTCACAAATAGTATACATTATGAAGCTTGTTAAAAGTGATGAGGCGCATTCATGTCTTTGTTCGCTCTTCTTGTTTAAGAAGCTTGTTGTTCTGTGCTATTAAACCAAACTGCCATAGCAGTATGAATTAAATGGATCGATGCCTAGGTTTACCATTATTTAGTATCTGCACTAACTAGACTAACATTTTTTAGACCTAAATCATGACTGGTTCAAAAAAGGGTACATCAACTATTCGACATCCTTGTAAGTGTCCTATTGCATTAATATTTGTAACCTTTGGATTGTAGTTTATTTACCAAAATATATTTGCTTACATCATCATTACAATTTCCAACACACCTTTTTATCTTCCCAATTACCTTTTTATCTCACATACATCACATCACAAAAAGTGCTACAGTAAAAATATCTCTAATAATTCACAATCCAAACAAACCCAGATATTGTTAGCAATTGGCTAAAATAACTTCTGGTGCTCATAGAAATAGTTGTTGGTCTTATGGATAAGGACCATAAGGTCATAGGGCTGTTAAATGCACACACACTTTTTTCTTTTTTTCTTTTTTTGTCAGCAATGATACATTTGTATAACCTACTCTATTCTAATATAGGGGGGAGATGGAGCCTAAGGAGACTGTGATAGGAGGTTAGTTGGTATATAGATCCAACTAAACCAAGGAAGTGTTATGGCACAACCTTTAAATTTTTTTCGCGGGATTTAAACCCCTCCTTGCTGACCACTGAGTCATTGGCCCAGTGGTTGCTAAATGCATATACTCAATACAGTAGATGTTGATGTACGATCGCTGGGAAGTGTAAAGGCATCTCTTCTTAAAACCAAACATAATTTGAATGGCTTGAAGTGGAAAGTGTAAAGCAAAGACACATTTCCCACTTTAGGGTTGAAGATTTTAAAGGCAAAAGTAGTCTGCAGACTCCAATATTTCTAGTTGATATAAAAATGCTTGGCAGCTAGGTTGAGTTCTAGTAATGTTAAAGCTAATATGCTCTCTTCTCATTCTATTTTCGTTTGCAATTTACATTTAAAGTTGATGATTTTCAATTGGATTCGGAAAACAAAACCGGATTTTGGTTGTAGGAAAAGAAATAGATTATGCCAATTTCGCTTGCTATAAACCTATAGAACAAGAAATTGTAGTTTAGAAGAATGTCAAAAAATTCAATAAACCTAAATGAATAGCTAGAGGGCCAGCAGGATCAAATGTACAATTAGAAGCCTATTCTAGCTGGATCACCCCTTCCTCCTGACTTTTTCCTGGGGCTAAATCATCACTCTCACAAAAACAAAATATGTAGACTAGAACATTATTATCATGACTTATTAGCCATATTTCAGCTATTATTTAGAAGACTGGGATAATTTCAGAAACCTCTCTTGAGGTTTTTAATAATTTGACCTAAAAAATTACATATACCTTCCCTAAGTTTACTGTTTTGGTAACAAAAATTGATCAATGGTCAAAATTTCAAATGAATAGTCTAAAATACCCTCATAAAATTGTGAAGTTCATTTTACCTTTTTATAAAATTCTTTAAAAAATATGGAACATTCTTTAAAAAATTTCAAATCCACTTTCAACCCTCATCTCTACAAATTTAAACCTTTCGTATTACCACATCTCAAATTAGTACCATTATCACCATGACCGCTACCACAATCAATCCCTAAATTCTAAAGCCTCAATCTAAGTTAAAAAAAAAAAATCAGCATTGTTAAACACAAAAAAATTCAATGACTGCATCAATGTAATATCCTATCTTTCAAATATTGGAGTACCAATACCAGGTCAACTTTCAACTTACATATTCTTCTATTTATCTTTAAATCTTCCTAGCAAAGTTGAAATTAATTTGTAATGTATTAAAATTGTGTTTAGGACATATTTGGTTATTCCGCGAGCAAATCTTTTTTTATTTCTATTAAATGTCTAATTATGTGATGCTTTCATATGCACAAGATTAGAAATGAATTGTTTAATTGTATGACAAATATTAATATATTAAGATTATTACGATCATTTTGTAGGATTAAGAAAAATTGAAAACCTTAAAGGCATTAGGTGAAATTGTTAAAAACCTCGAGAGAAGTTTCTGAAATTATCCCTAATAGATTTGCCAGATGAGACTGCACCTGTGATCTCGTAACAAATGTCTTGCTTCCAATAATTCGCACGCTGGGTTTGAAATATGGTCCACCCCAAGATTATTGCTACTACAGCTAGTTGTGAGTTATTGATAGCTAAAACGTCTAATCAACTCCCAAGATTACGTACACAAGATTACTTGATAGTATATCCATTTGTAGTTTAGAAGATATTACCACTCTCCCTCCTTGTCCTTGAACAATAATATGGGACATCCTATTGGCAAGACCATTGACATTCGCTATCAGCAAATCTTTGGGCATCAATAAAATATTCTCCATGTGGAGAAATGTTGAGAGCCACAGACAACCAAGTTTCCCGAACAAATTTTGTAATTTAAGAGTGAAGGGCATGTAGACTGTAGAAGTAGGAAAAATTTCTCTCATACGAAAATCACTCTGCACTTAGAAAGATGCAACCACATGCATGAACGTTGCAACTGGTAAAATACTTCAGCGCTCTGTAAGTAAGTGTGATAGCAGCTATTCATCTTCTCATCAGTTTTATTTCCATACTTTCTGGTTCACTACGTATCATGAAGACACATACATGGATGGGGATGCAAGCTTAGTTTAAATCGCGAACCAATTATTGGACTAGGCCTCAGTTACTACGTAGTTACACTTTTGTTTGCTGGTAGATGGACAGTGCATGTATATGATGGAAAAACAACCAACAAAAATCATAACTAAGAAGAAATGAAGGTCAACCGGCAAATGCTTGCAATAAATGCAGGTGACACACGGGGCAGCCAAGAATTCGGATGAGTCTGGGGCCACTGGCACCTCTGTGAACTTTCCTACATTTGTTGCTTTATGTGGATGAGCCAATCAAATCAATTGCCGGATTTTTGTAAAATCACTACTACGAGCCAACAGAGGTTTACTTCTATCAAGAAAGTTACGTTGCGAATACTGCATCAAGGGGTCATCTCCAGTGGAAATATGTACCTGATCCAATTGGGTAATTTTATCAAAGGAGGGAACAAATCTCAACGATAAATTGTTAAAAAATTTGATTGGTTTGTGGTTTACCGGACTATAAATAGTGTAGTTTGTTGCCTAGTCAACCATTTTTTCATATTTCTACACCCATCACCTCAATTTAATGCCAAACATTATTGATCTTCTTGCCACAAACTTTTTGACTGTTCTCCATTCCTCTCTCTCTCTCTCATGGACTCCCTATAATTGTAGTTACTTCCCCTTTCCCAGGAAAGAAAAAAATCAGATGATGGATATTGATCATCAACTAGTGCTTTCCTTTCAATCAGCTAAGAAGGTAGTACTGGTGGTCTCCCAAGATGTTTGACTGGTGAAACTGTTGATGAGGCTCGGACAAAAGTCTCCAGACTGATCAGCAGCAAGATCTCAGTAAGAAACCACAGTTTCGTTCCACTTTCTCTGCAAAGTTAATCATTTTATCCTCACCTGACTTGTCCTCGTCCACCTTCTTCCCGATTCGCGTTTGTCCCCATTTTTTTACTCAAGAAAATGCAGCTCCCATGCTAAATTAAGTAGTAGCAGTACTTGTATCATCTATTGCTTGTTCAACATTCTACTTTTCCAACCCCACTTTCACCTAAAAAGACTTCTCTCTTACTCACATCTATCTCACTTGTGCACACAAGCCCACACATTATTATTATTTCTGATAATCAACCTAAGAGGAAAAACAAGTAATCAACCTAAAAGGAAAAACAAAAACAGGAAACCAAGTACTAGCTTGCAGTCCAAAACCCTAAACCAGAAAAGGAAAAAAAAAAAGTTACCAGATCCTGCAGCAACATTGCTTCGATGGATTTTATCACTACACCAGTGCCAGGCATTCCAATTTCTGGAAACATCAAGTGTGGTAGCACCAACAGCCAGCTGATTTCAAACTGCTTGACAATGTCACCCGGGTCAGCTCCTGCTCCTGCTCCTCTGCCTCCTCTGAGCCGTTACGAAAATCAGAAGCGCCGGGACTGGAACACATTTTGCCAATACTTAAGAAACCACAGGCCTCCACTGGCGGTTCCACTGTGCAGCAGTTCTCATGTTCTTGAATTTCTTCGGTACCTGGACCAGTTCGGCAAGACTAAAGTGCACAACCAAGCTTGCCCTTTTTTTGGCATCCCAAATCCTCCTGCACCCTGCCCTTGCCCTCTCAGGCAAGCCTGGGGAAGCCTGGATGCCCTCATTGGCCGCCTTCGAGCTGCTTATGAAGAACATGGCGGTCTTCCCGAAGCAAACCCTTTTGGTGCTAGAGCTGTCAGGCTTTTCCTGAGGGATGTTCGTGATTTTCAGTCCAAGTCTAGAGGGATCAGTTATGAGAAGAAGAGAAAAAGAGCAAAGCAGCAGGTAGCTATCAAATCTCCTGCGGGTGTAACTCTGCCTTGTGGAGAAACAAATGCTATGATTTAGTACTACTGGTTATTTGCTTGACTTTGGGAGCATTAATTACTCGTCAGTAGTAGTATAAAAGAAACTTTTAATTTGGAAAATGAGCACACAGATTGATATACCATGAATCTTTGTCATAGTGTGTATTTGCTGCTTTAGTTATAAGCTTATAGTAGCTGAATAATCAGGTTTCCTTTTTTATTTTTTCCTCTCTGTTGTGTATATTGAGCTTTCAAGAATTATGAAAAGCGATATTTCTGCTATAATTTTGAGATTCTCTTCTTTGTTACCAGTGGAAAATTTTGAGTGATTTGCTTTGTGATTTTGAGAACTAGAAAGAGTAAAGCTTGATGAGAACGGAATTGGTCGGAGTACCAATTGCTTGACGGTGCAACTGTTGATGGTAGAGGGTAAATTGATACGGTATGCTCATGCGATAGTATCACAACAGTAATGTTCTGGTCCATTATATCTGCAACTTTTTTTTTTCTTTTTGGACTATGTCTGCAAATCTTCGTAGCTTAGACAATTTTCGAACTCCAAATATTCGTTTATCTTCTTTATTCCTTATTATTTACTCTGTGATCGCTGATGATTTCAAAATTAGATTGCATGCAATGCAGAAGTAGCAAGATTTGTCTTAATCACAAAACGTTGGATTCATACACTCATTTAATTAAATTAATTTGAACCCCTGTTGACTTTATATATAGATAGTTTCTACAACGTAAATTGTTGAAAGAACTTGTAAATTGTATGATTAAAAAAAAAAAAGGATCCTTTGATTGATATAATGGTTCTCATTTTTCTTAGAGAATATTCTTATTTACTTAAATTCCATATTTCATCGATATTTCATTTTTATTCCACCCCCCATACTACGGAGAGTTGGGATTTCAGATTGAAATGATTGGTATAGGTTTCGAAATACATACGTTACTTAATTGTGCTTAATTGTACTTAATTGTGATGGATTCTATTATATTATATGGACCCTCCAACTATTGTTTGTGTGTAAGTCCACCATAAATGACCATTGCGAACATTTTCCAGCAATGTATCTGCTCTACTTAATTCTTGATTAGTTAGTTCTTTAACTAATTTGGATTGAATACGCTTAAATAATAAGGTGAAGTAAGACGATAGCAAATGTAAACTTAATTTAGCATTTTTTTTTGGCTATTTAAGCGTGCAATAATTGTTCTCTAAATTTTGAATCATTTGTCACTAATTGAGTCAAAATTTGACCAAAAATGTAACTTGATCCTTGGGGATCAAAAAAAAGTTTTAAACATACCATCACAAACATGAGTGGTAACAGAACGGACTAAGTTCACTTTGCACCTTGAAACTTGTTCCACTTTTCACTCTAAACTCCAATTTTGAATATTTTTCATCCCGAACTCTTAATTTTTGACACTTTGCATCCAATCAATGACAACTTCAACAAAATTAACGGTATAGATGACTCAACAAATCAACGACAACATGTTGAAAGTGATCAAAATGTGCCAAGATATCGTAGTAAAACCAAAACAATGCATTATCATTAATTTGTATTATTTTTTATCTCGTTAATTTTGCTAACAATGTTAGTGATTGAGATCATATAGATCAATCATAATGTGGTGAAAGTAGTAAAAAAAAAAAAAAGGTAAGAGATCACAATTAGAACAAAATGGGAAATTATAATTAGTTTTTATCATCCTTTATCTCATTAATTTTGCAAACGTAATTACTAATTGAACTTAAATGAGACAAAGCTGAGAGCTTAAGATGCAAAATATTCAAAATTAAGAGTTCAGGGTGAAATTTAGGGTGCAACGTGGAATTATTTCGGACGCAAATAATCTCGAAGGCAATAATAGTTCTTCAAAGAAGAATGGATAAATCCAATGTACAGTAAATTTATTTCAACTTCCCTATGAACGAACGCAAGAAGGAACAATTGATTGATTAGATGGCTTCCCCTTATCTCACGAGTCACGCCTGACCAAACTACAATTAATCTTCCTAAATTTGTAGTACTTGACGAATCAAAACAAGGTTTAGTTGAACACTCTTTCAGTTGCCTCATCTTTTCAAGCAGAATTAATTACGTCAAACATTTGATAATTTAAAGGGGACAAAAGTATTACATTTGTGGACAACACACTCAGCATTAAAGGGAAAACATAGTTAGGTATTGACTTTACCATGATCAAACGAAGCTTGCAATTATGGCAAAGGCAAAGGGACGTATTCTGATCTATTTGATTAAGATATTTTACCAGAAGATCTTTGTGAACCATGAAAGTTTGCGAAAACGACAACCTAGTTGATATCATGATACTGTTACTGAGCATTTAACACAGTCCTTTTATTATTGCAAATATGGAGACTCCAAGCCATAGTTTTTTTTTTTTTTTTTTTTGACGCAGGGTGTCCTGATCTTGTGGATCAGACTAATCCCGGTGACTGGCAGAGCCCTGCTCAATGACGCCAACGCGTTACCAACGAGATCGAATTGAGAACCTGCCGCTAAAGAGCGGGACGACCAAACCAGACGAGCTGTCCGTTGGGGGCAAACCTTAGTTGATAAGGGTTCAAAGTAAAATGAAAACACGAATGCCATAATTACTTAGTTATAAGTTATAGCCCCTACCAACTCAGCCCAGTGTTCTGGGGAAAATTGTAGCATAATGTATACTTTTGACACCTTTCCACCATTGTAGTCTTGTCTTTTTTTCTGCTGGTTTCTTTATGATAATGTTACCATCCATGATTCACGGACCAATAACAAAGGACAGCACTAGCTAGTTTTACACTTTACTCACGAAAGATAATTGGATGCTTCTTGAATCGAATCTGAATGATTTCTCCTTTTCTACCCCCCCATGGCCCCATCCATCTAATCGCATTTCCTCCCCTCTTTCTGTCTTATTTGCAAGGTATGAAATCCCATCCGACTTTTAAGGTTAAAATATTTCTATAGCCCTCAAGGTTGAAGAACTTATAATGTGACAATCAAGTCCAAATGATTGGATGTTTGATACCATTTTCCCTTTTTTCTTTAAACAAATCTTTTAAAAGAATCACTAGGATTTGGAGAAAGATCAAATGGGATAGGTGAGAAGCCAATCTGATATCAAAGACGATGAAAGAAAATCTATCAACCATGCTGATATGTGCCCCCATTAGGTTGACCAAAGTAGATGTGCGGATTGGTCCATTTTGCCTTTTGGCGAAGCTTTACAACCATTTTTGAAAACTTGTACCTTCTGAGGTGATACGAGAATTTAACCAGTAGCTCTTATCTGGTTGTGTGCAACCACAGATATCTGACAGGGAAAATATACAGAAACTGATGGCTGAGGGCTTTCTTTTGTATATTTTTTTTGGGCTATCCATTTCATATATAGTTTTTCTTCCCAGTCGATAATCAGCAAGAGAAATTTCTTCTCTCAAAAATACTACGCTATGTGAAGTTTCTTCAGGGCCAACTTCACCACCTCTACGTATGTTTCCCAAATATGCTCATGACAGATAGCTCCAAAATCATATCAAATTAAGAAAGAAAAGAAGAAGTTTAAATCACACTTTAGAATTTAAAACTGCTTGTAAGGTTTTACTGTTTACTACAGACTTCCACCGTGATGATAGGTTTGATCTTTGATGCTCAGAAATTTCAAGAACTAGAAATATAGCGTATGATATCATAAGAACTTGTCTCATTTGCCGTCTTGCTTGCCATGAACTCCGTTAACAGCTTGCTGCAACAATTCAAGAACGTGAAATCACTTTAGTTTGGAGTGTTATTAGGTCATGAATCAAGAGAGTAAGTTCGGAGTCGAGAACTACCTGCATGCAAGACAGAGTGTAGTGGACATCGCTTTCTGATATTTGGTGGTGAAGGACCATCCTAATCCTGCAATTATAACAATTTCAATGTCTACCTCTTAGATATGCGTTATAGGTTTTGCCAAATCAAAAGATGAACATCAATCATGCTCTAGTACACGACCGCAAATTGTATAATCAAAATATCCAATATCAAAGGAGAGGGAATTGTCCATGAAAGCATTTGACTGGATTTAGCAAACATATGTCTAAAGCATAAATTAGTTATCAAAAAACGAGGCTTATATTTGTGACAGGAAAAAAAAAAAAAAAAAGAAAGAAAGCCAAACTAAGACAGTAATATAGTAACACTTTTCCCGTCAGCTGACAGCAAATCTGCTTCAGCTGGGACTTCTAGCAATTAAACACATAAATAGGTTGCATGAACAGTTATCAGAATTGCCTGTTCTGGCAGAAGCTGTTATCACGTTATATATCATCTCTCAAGTAACCTATTGGATAAGCATCAAATCAGAAGATGACGAGGCATGCATCCATGAAAAACTTAGTGAGAGACTCAGGCCGTATGATGGAAGTTTATCAAAGGAAATGAACCTGAATGGGCCTTCTGGTAAAATAAGTATCCCATGTCCCTCCAAAATCTTGCAAAGCTTGGTTTCTGTGATATTTACGCTCTTCAGGATATCACAATATACCTGATTATTACAAAAAGGGAGGAAAAAATGATCTCATTATGTTTTCTTCTTCCATGAAATTCTGTAGGCTAGCTTATAAACGAGGCACCAGCCTCACAGCTTAAAGACTTGCTTCTAATAACACAATAATTATACAACAATAACAACCTAAAAATCGAGCACCACTGGCAGGACAAAGCATCATCTTTTCCTCTTACATGATGATGCATTTTGTTTACTAATACGAATCAACCAGTACACCTACTATCAAAGTTTTTGCAAATTTTATACAAATACACCCTGTTCAATTTCCTAGTCATGAGTAGCAAAAATAACTGCATAAGCAGCTACTTCAGCACCAGATCAGCTGGCATGCTCGTTTCAGATTTTTTTCTTATCTGTTTATAAATTCTCTTGAAGTTTTAAAAGAACTAACCACTAACAGCTGGTTAACAAGGAAAACACAAATCATTCCCCTGCATAGTTTAAATACAGAAAGGATATCAGGAACTTTGTTGGCCAAATAGGCCAATCATCTTCAACTTCAAAACTAAGCAACTTACTATATTAGTCTCGACGGAATCAATGTCAACATTTAGTCCTTTGATTTTGTTCAGCCCCACTGAGAAAATTACAAAAAGAACGTAAAATCAGATATGTGGGAGAAGTCAAGAGGATATTAGGGGTGCATATATGAACTTATAAAGAAAATATGGAAAAGAAATTGGTTCAATAAAATGAAATTCTAAGGGAAGAAGACTTTACCTGCTAAAGTTTTAGCCTTTTTGTGATCTCCTTCAAGCTTACCAACATTTTCTTGCAATGCAATAAGAGCAGCAGCGCACAGGACACCAACCTGCCTCATTCCACCACCCAGAGTCTTCCTGAGAATCCTTGCCTGGACAGTTATACAAAAAGAAAGATAAGTGCTCAATTTGCAGAAACGATATTTTCTTTTGGGGCAGGGGTGGCGGGGCAAGCCTACAGCACAATGAGCTTACTCTGGCAATAAAGGTTTCTGAACCAACAATTACGGTTCCAACCGGAGCACCAAGACCTTTCGATAAACAAATCTGTAATCCACATTAAAAAATGGATGAGGAACAAACAGGTATTTAGTGCAGCAAAGTGAATATGATGGTCAAGGGTGGACAAGGAAGAACAAGTGAAACTAGGAGAGAGTCTTTCATGATCATTCTACTTACAGATACTGAATCAGCAGCCTGTACAAGCCTGTCAACCGGAACTCCCAGTGCCTGAAGAATAGATCTTGCCAATTAGGACTTTCCAGCAATGCAAGAAAACAAACATGACAGTGCAACTAAACAGATAGCTGGACCAAAACTAAAGAGTCTACATACTCCATCTTCCAGAAAATTTGCTCAAATGCCGGAAATAAGTTTAATAACCCCACTTCGACTTAAAAAAATACCAAAATTCATAAATGATTTTAGTTCCAGAAGTTGATAAAATATATATACAAAGTTTTGCAGCTTCTGGGGATGCTCATTTCAAAGTCCTCCAAATTACCTAACGGATGTGGACCTTGACTTGGGAATTCATGTTATTACAGCTAAAAACTTCCAAATGACTATTGAACATCTAACTGCAGATTGCGGTTCCCAACAGAGTTAAACAAGCAAGATGAAATGTATATCAAAGAAGAAGTAGTAAATAAAACTACCCTCGTGATTTGATAGATGAAAATACTACCTCGACATGATAGAATAAGCAATATTGTATCCATTAGTAAAGTTATTACTCACAACTGATGCATTAAAAATACGAGCACCATCAATGTGAAGCTTCAGTCCATACTTCTTTGCTAGCTCTCCTACTTGGTCTATGTATTCTGGAGAAAGGCATCGACCACCAGAACTGCATAATAGGATGATGCTGTAAGAATCTGATAACCAGCAAGAAGCAATATTCTCCTATTAATTTAGGAAATGTGTTTTGGTTAACTAGAATTGCAATTCTATACAATCACTTATTAGACATTTAACCAAGTTTTTTCAATCAACATCTAGCTACAAAGAGTACAAGGCAATGATATACATGTGACGACTTTCTGTGCTATGTGGATAAGAGTTACAACTAAGAAATTCACCATGAAAAAAAAGCTTACTGAGCATGTGAGTTTTCCAAACAGATGAGCCTAGTTGTTGGGTAACATATCTCAAATCTAGGATCTCTAATTGCAGCTTCCATTTGATTGATATCCATTGTTCCGTCTTCATTATTCTTCACTGTTCTTGGATGAACACCTCCAATTGTGGAAATACCTCCATTTTCATAAATGTGGATATGGCAACTGTCACCTAGAATTACCTCACTTCCCCTAATTGGACAATGTGTAAGCACACAAATAAGGTTACCCATTGTGCCTGAAGGGACAAAGAGGGCTGCTTCCTTGCCTGTGATTCTTGCCATCTCTGTTTCAAGGCGACGGGCAGTTGGGTCATGACTTAAAACATCATCATCAACTTCAGCATTTGCCATTGCAGTCCGCATGGCTTCAGTTGGTTTAGTCACTGTGTCAGATCGGAGATCTACCGTTCTTGTCACCATTTTGCACTATAATCAAGCAGAACAAAATGAACAAATCAAGACATGAGTTAAAAACAAGAATAAGTTATCTCCAGGCATAGGACTGCCATAGTTACATCATTCGAAAAAATAATAAATAAGACACTGACTCGGACCTGAAAATTAAACTACATATAACCAATCATGAAATGGAAATAAGCAATAACAGACATGTTGGAGATCTGTGTTTTTTCCTGAATTCTCTGGAAGGATCAGAATATGTAGACAATAAAAGAGCAAATAGATTTGTTGTCTTAGGAAGAAAGGTCTATCAGTGAACTGAGAAAAAAGAAAACAAAAAGGAAAACTGAAATCATGGACGTATGCCATAAAAAAAAAAATTTATTTTGCGCATGTGCGTGAGGAGCACTTGAAACGTAAGAAAACAAACCAGAAACTTTGATGCATAAACTGTAGTATAAAACGCAGAAACTGATGACAAGGCAAATGCAAGAAATGCGGAGTCTGATTCTGGATGCACTTAAACCTGAGGTCGTCTGGGTGACGCCTCCAATTTAGCATAATTAATCCATATCTTCCTAGGGATTTCTTGCAGGATACTAATCTAATTGCAGTTCAAGATTAAGCTGAAAAAGAAGAGAGATTTCTTCCACTTTCACATCTCTTTATCTCCTTTAGCAATGAATATCTATCCCATCCTCTCTCTCTCATTTCAGACAATTTCATGCAAAATTCATCTACTTTATACAAAGAACCAACAGCCACACAACATGCTCGGACGTTAATCAGTGCGCATTATATTTGATACCTTTTTTTTTATAGTTATTGAAGCAAAATCAGTCAGTGTTGATTGATATCTCCCTTCTTGAGTTCTTGATGCAGAGTTACAGAATCCAGCAACAATCAACCAGATTCACTCAACTGCACTCCAAACGTAATAAATCGGTACCAAAAAGGGGCAAGAGAAATTTATCACGAAAAGGTAAAGAAAATATGACAAAGATGATTTAAAAAGAAAAAAAAGATTAACCCACAAAACTGAGCACTTACGTGCGATGAAATTCAATCATGAGCACAGAAACAGAGCAGAATCAGTAGTTCTTGTCAAGTGGAAAAGACCCAAGATACGTATCTAAGTAAAGCACCACAAGATGAATCCAAGTGTATGACAGCTGAATCTTTGGTTCTCTTTCCCTTAAAGAAGCGAAAACCCAACCCCACCGCAACCTCAAAAGAAAGAAATGCATGACCTCTTTCGGGAACTTATTATTTCGTCATTTAATGAAAACAATTATCAAAAACAAGCATCATCTCATCACATGACAAAATACATGAGCTACACACATGGCACTTTACAGTCATTGAAAATGATGCATGCATGATAAGCAACTAGCGGTTGATAGAACTTCAATAAAGGCACCAAAATTCTCGTCTTAATCAAAAAGATTCTTCAGGTACATAGTTGAATTTGACACTTCCCTATTGGGCTCACCTTTGATATGATCAAGTGACTCTGTTGTGGCTCCTTTGTGTCTTCTTTCCTACCTTCCTTTTGTGTGTGTGTGGTTTTTTTTTTTTTTGGAACCAAAGTTTGGACTAACAATCCAAAAACATATATGGGATTTTAGGGAAACACGGTAAGTTTTGATCATCTATGCGTTGGAATGCAAATCTATTTATATACAAAGGTGGGTATGAATTATGAAAATTAATGCATCATGCATGAAGTTTATTCAAGCTGGAACATAAAATAATGGTAACTAGGAAGAAAAGTTGGATACTAACTCCAAACAGGTGGTAAAGGCGATGATGACTGGAATCCTTCACATTCTGGGCCCTTTTCTTATCGGTCTTATCTCTTGGCCCACCGAATACACGAATCACGAATGCGGGAAAGATATCTTACAGACGCTATTGATGTTTCAAATATTCAAATTCTTGACTGCAATTTGATGCACTAAAATAGCCCTTTCAAGCTTAACAAGCAAAATTGTCCACGGCCGACCGATCATTCTTGGAACTCCAGACCAATCTTTCCTAGAACTTCAGAAATCCTGGGAGCCGCCATTATGGTTTATTGACGCTCATAACAAAAGATGGCTAGTCTTTTGAGTTCAGTAGTTTCCTACCTACATTTCATTTGACAGGAAGGGACATTTGAGCCGGGTTTTAATAAGCCCATTAAAATATTTGGTTTCGATTCATGAGTTTTTTCTTTAAAAAAAAAATAAAGAGTTTTCAGCTAATACACGTAAAGTTCATATTTGATTCATAATATATTCGAATTTTGATTTCAATTCGGACTCAGTTTAAACTCACTTATTTTTTCTTAATTTTTTAATATAATTACTATAATCATTAAATAATATTAATTTGAAATCTGTAACATTAAAACTATACAAGTATATATACACCAATAAAAAGTTCATTAAAAGTACATAAACTAAACATTTTTCAATAATAATTGTACCTAATTCTTTTCAAATACATAGAAAATAATAATGAAACGTGAATAGATTACTAATAATTTATCTAATGAATCTAATTCTCTTCCTACTAATTACTAATATTTTAAGTATACATTACATATTAAAAAAATACATGTATATATATGTGTGTGTATATATACACACACAAATATATATATCCATACATATATATGGGGTAAAAATAAAAAAAAAACTCTGTGGTAAACCTATTATACAAATAAGCCCCTATAGTTTCAAAATATACAACACGGTATCTCATGTTTTGAACTAAATTGTAAACCTGACGGAAATCGGTAAAATTAACGGGACTGATATACTGAAAACTAAAAACAAATTTTTAGCAAATATTACTATTCTACCCCTTAGCCCCCAATAAAACTCCTAGTGATGTTTGAACCTCTCAATAAAACTCCGTGAAGCTGCCCTTAACAACCGCACTAGACTGTACCTGGTGTTCATAGAAATCCCCAGCCCATTCTTCGAGACTGATTGAACCTCAGATACTGGTGTTGAAGAATTTGTCCCACCCTCCTTCAAGAACGATATATGAACATTTTCCGTTGAAGCAGTACCCACCATAACTGGAGTTGGTGTAACTGTTTGCCCGGCTACTTTTATGGGACGAATGATGGGGAGAATTGGACGAATGTTTAGACTGTGAAATATCCCAGCAGAAGTTAGACATGTAAGAAGAGCGTCTTTTTTCGATGTCGTTATTAGTTAGATGAGTAGAAGGGGTGCCCAAGAAAAGAGTGCAATCAACAGAGGAAGACAGTAGAGATAATGCGAAGGAATACATTTTAGCAGTTTCATCAAAGGGTTTATTGTGATGGTTAGGCATAGAGAAGAGCATGGAGAAGAAATTGGCTTGATAAGTGTGGAACATGCCACATGAACATGGTCCAGCCATGTTTCCATGAGAGCCACCATTGCACCTATTACTGTGCATCATCGTTTGTTTTCTTTCTTCTTTCTTTTCCTGCTGCTGCTTCAATCTCTAGATGGATAAATAATCTCTTCAACTGGTCTTTCAATTTATAGGGCTAAGACAAAAGAATAAAAAAAATACTATTAACTATGGGTTTTGTGAGAATGAGGTAAAAACGATGGGTAATAATCAAATGGTTGAATGTGGGAGTAAGTTGAAGCTTAGGAGGAAGAGCTCGTAATGTTATATGAGTGTATGAGAGAGAAAAAGAGTTGGAGCCGGGCATTTTGGTCATTTCATCAGTGCCCGTTAATTTTATCAATTTTCGTCAGATTTACAATTTAATTCAAAATATGAGGTACCGTGTTGTATATTTTGAAACCATAGGGGCTTATTTATAAAATTGGTTTACCACAGGGTTTTTTTATTTTTTACCCATATATATATATACATACATACATATATATATACACATATATGTGTGTATATATATATGAGAGAATTGTAATTTTGATCCCCAATTTATAATATATGCGCGTAATTAGTTCCCAACTATTTCGAAAATCAATTTTGATCCCCAATCTATTCAATTTTGGGCTAAAAGTGGACAACTGATGAAATTTCTTCAATTTCAACCAGAACCAAGTCACGTGAGATCACGTGCCGGCACTAAAACCCCTTTTTCAATTTTTTAAATTTTTGAAACACGTTTTTTAATATTTTCAGTTTTGTCTTGCCTTTGGACATATTAAACAAAGACATGAAAGGCTAAAATTCACTAATCAAGGAGTTAGTAATCGTGTGTAGAAATAAATCACAAAATAAAGTAGGACGATGACATCCTCTACTTCCTTCTTTTCTCATCTTCTTTCTTCCAACTCAAGAACAAACCCTAGCAGCCTCAATCCCATTCTAATCAGACAAAAAAATTCATCATTCTGGCAAAAAATTGCAAGATCTAGGCAAAAACTTTGTGTCGAGTTTCTTCTATTTTCAATTTAGCTCCTCATGGAACCAATGAAAAATTGCGACTGCAAGCAGCAAGCAATAATGGTTACTTCTTGGACAAGCAATAATCTTGGGAGAAAATATTCCACTTATGCAATCAAGAAAGTATGGTTGTCTCTGTTTCTGATTTCGACTTTTCTATCTCTATTTCTCAGTTTAAAGCTAAAGTTTTATGATGTTGGCTGTGAAGAGTAACAGAAAAAAAGGATGCGATTATTTTAAATGGCATGATCCGAAAATATGTAGAAGGTCAACAGTCCTGATTCCTGGATTACTACGGAGCATGAACAGTAAGAATGCTACAATTGAGAGGCTAAGAGCAAGGGAAAGAAAATTATTGTTAGCAATTTTGTTGTTGGTACTTCTGTTGGTTATTGTGTTACTGGTGTAAAAGGCAGAAGGTTGGACAGTCTTGGTATCAACTAAGCAGCTTAAGGAAAATGTGTTAAGTATTAGGCTAAGCTAGATACTGTCTAAACTTAGAGATGAAAGATATTCATCCGGATTGTAATTTTTGTATTTTTTTGTTGGAATGGGTGAATGTGTAAGTTGTAATCTACTATCAGGCTAGTACATTTTGTTTTCTTGAATGAATAGAGATGAAAGACATTCGTCCGGATTGTAATTTTGATATTTTTTGTTAGAAGGGGTGAATGTATAAGTTGTAATCTACTATCATGCTAGTACATTGTGTTTATTTTAAATGAATGAATATATTGGATGTTCCAATCTGTTTTTAATTAGTTGTGTTTTTAAAATTCATTTACAAGTTAACTGGATGTTGAGTTCTTCTCGGAAAATGAATTCAATTTGAGAGGTTGAATGAAGAATCATTTGACAGCAAAATCATGAATCCTAATTCAAAGAGCCAGTTTATGCATGAACATGGGTTCATATCATTGGATTAAACAGTCCCAAAAATCAGAATAGGAAATTCACTACAATCCTTGCATTGCAGATATAAAGAAACATGGAAGAATAATAGGAATTCAATACATCCAAGTCATCCACAGCTAGAATCATACTTTTACAACCACCATCCCATTGATCAAATAAAGGCGTTTCCTTGCCTAGAATTCTATATAAAACTTGAAGCACCTATTTATGATAATTTTCACAATCCAGAATGACCAGAAAACAGAATGAAAACTGAACTTCAAAATGTGGAAGTAAGCTACTATAAAACCTGAATATCATATGTAATGCTGGATAGTAAAACAAAACAAATGGTAACATACCAAAAAATAAAAAAAATACCAAAAGATAAAAGAAGAATTCATTACTGGTTTGGAACCAATATGCAAAAGATACATTCAGAATTTATTACAACCATTAAATAGACACTGTTTTGTCATTTGCCAGAAATGATTACAAACTTTAAAACTGTCATGTTCACGCTGACTTGTTCTCAAGATGCATGAGTTCTAAATACCAATGTACAAAAGCTACTAATCTGACAAAAGTTACTACTAATCAAATTCAGCAACACAACCATCCAAAAGGTGTTGATTATTAACATTAAGCTAGGTACTGATTAGCAACATCCAAAAGGTGCTGATTAACTACATATCAGTTAGTTGATGTTGGCTTTTCCTTTGTCATTGCAAGGTGAATTTGAATATCTTTGATCCTAAAAGGTATTACTGTTCTTCCTTGGCCAACTGGTTGACTGCAATGTACCACAAAATGCTCTAGGATCCCAAAAGCTTCACGCAGGTTTGGTTAAGCAGTAGGGGCAAAAGATATTATGCTGTCATCACCAGTTGTTGGGTTGTTCTGTGATGAATCTATTTGCTTTGCACTTCGTTTGGTGTCATTTCCCTGCAATACATCAGCATTTAACCACTAAATATCGAACTCAAGAAACAATAACTAAATGTACATTAAGTAATAAAATTACAACATATTTCTTGATGTTTTTGTTCTCCTCTTCTTTGCATTTGAAGTGTTGCCCCTGACCTACAACAAAGCATAAAATGCATTAGCTGCTACAATGTTACAAACACAGGTATATCTATTTACACAAATTACATGCTTGAGTTACAGAGTTATCTACTATCATGTCATCTAGTTGTGAGAAACTCATATCCTTCTGATTTGCTTGTGTTTTCTGCCCCTGTTCTCTTATTTGACTGGCTGCAACACCTGCTTCCTCTCTAACCTTACATGTCCGTGTGTTATGACCTTCTTCACCATAGAATGAGCATTTACAGATTTGACCAAATCTTCTCACCTTCTTGCCTGGTCCTTTGTTTGCTGTATCTCATCACCAGATTTTCTCCTCTGTTTCTTTGGTCTTCTTGATACTCTTCCATAAGTTGGTGACATGGGTGGCTGAACATCTACATCTTCCCACTCATACGCTCTATTCACAGGTAAAATGCAAGGGTCATAACACTTAAGATATTTTTTAACACTATAACAGTCATCAATGTACTGCATAGGGGCCTTCATAGCAATCCACAAAGCTGAAATTGCATGAATACATGGTATCCCTGTCAAATCCCATTTCCTGTATGAGCAAGTCCAATCCTAAATATTGACTGCCCACTTATCACCATAAGGACCAATAACTTCAAAACTGACATAGTTTGATTTGTAAGACACATAGTAAGTTGCCTTGTCAATATTAACCTTCATCATTTTTCTAATTTTTGGATAGAAACCAAATTTACTTCGTTTTTTCCTACCTCTATCTCTATTTTCTTGCATTCTTTGCATGACAAAATGTTTCAATGCCTTCATCATGACAACAATGGACCCTTCCCTGGCATCTAATATTTCACTGTTAAATGATTCACATAAGTTATTCAACAACATATCACATTTAGGAAATGTTCTGAAGTGTGATCTACTCCACTCAACTGGATTCTTGTCCTCTAACCACTTAATTGCATCAACATCCAGTTCTGCTATGGCTTCCATTCTTCTTATGAATTGTGCATGAGTAGTTGCCTTAGATGCTTTCCATAAGACTTGCCTCATGGCTGTCCCTTTGAATCCAGCAGCTACCATATTGCTATGCATATGCTTCACACAAAATCTATGATTAGCCCCTAAAAAAATTGAATTACATGCTTGAATTATGCCCTTCTGCTTGTCACTCATTATGGTCCATTCATAATCTTTTTCAATTTTTAGATCCTCATTAAGTAAAATAAGAAATCAAATTCAGGAATTCTTAGTTTTTCTCTCAGTTGCTGCATAAGCAATTGGATACAAACCATTATTTTGATCAACTTCAACTGCTATCAGTAATACTCTACCAACCGCACCTTTGAGGAAAGTCTCATCTAATCCAAATACAGGCCTACAAGCATCTAAAAATTCTTTTTTCACACCAGCGAAGCACATGTACAAACTTTGATATTTTTCTTGTTTGATGACTAAATCACAGTAGTCTTCTGCCACATTCATTACTACAGTACTACCTGGGTTACTTCTCAAGATTTTATTGATATACTTGGGCAACTTATTGTACTGGTTCACATCTCTACCTTGGGCCAACTTCCTGCCAATTTTTTTTAGCTCTATAGCCTTGATGTCTACTCAAATAGCACTTGTTCTCTTTCATTACCGGATTTTTGAAGCTAGCATAATCCATCTTGGTATTCTCCCTAAATGTCTTAAAATATTTTGTCAACCCACCCAGATTTCACACTCTTGTTATGATATGAAAACCCATACTTGTGTTTCTGCTGGAATGTTCTAATTTCTAATCTGCCATCACCTTTCATCTTCCTAGCATATATGTACCCGTCACATTCTTTTTTAGGATAAATTGCCCTGCATCTAATGGTGTCACTCTTGGTAAATTTAAATGGTCTACCCCACTTGATATTTCAGGTTCTAACTGTCTCTTTAAACTTCTTGAATGTGATAAATACCTGCCTAATTTCAAGATTGGGGTTATCTGCATCCTTGGGGTCATACATAGGGGGTTTTAAATAACCCTCTTTATCTGAACCTTGGAGACTATCAATATCTAAACTTGAATCTGGTGCAACATCTATGTCGGATTTATCATCATCAGTATCAGAATTACTCACTGTTTGTCCCCTAGTTTCCTCTACATATTCTTTTTTTTATTCCTTTTAAGCTACTGTTTCCTGTGATTTTCTACCCCTAACTATTCTAAATTATGATCAACATTTTCTTCATAGTCATTGTCATCAGAATTTTGCTCATAATCAGAATATTTTCTTGAGAATTTTCCAGAATTAGAACCCTCTATATATTAACTATCAGATTCATCATCTTCATTTTCTAATACAAAATCTTCATCATCAATATCAAACCCCCACTATGATGCTAATAACTCACTAAAAGAAACCTCTGTGTACAAATCAACTACCCTTCCATACTCAAATTGATTAACACAATAGACATGCAATTCTCTATCCTGACTTTCTAACATTCTATCCATTTCAAAAAGGCTTATACCTGTGACCTCTACATGATCAAACACCCTTAATTCACCTCCCTCATAATGAACATCAGGTTCAGTTTCACATTTTCCCCATAAGTGACACTTCACAGTCACTTTCGTACTATCATTATCTACATTTAAAAAAAAATAAGAAACAAAAACAACAAACAAACAACACAGACCATAATTTAGATGACAGAAATAGTAAAACTAGCAAACCGACAATAAAAAATGCATACTTTAGCAAAGATTCAAAGACATGGACCATCAATTGCAGTAAAATAAGTCCCACTTGTACAGTATGAACCAGCATAATAAGATCCCGTTTAGAGACACACATGGGACCACATCACAAATGACAAATTTTTTTAGGGCTTTTTTCAAGATTGGTCGTTCATAAAGCCTTCATTACAGATTTTTTGTCCCCCCAAGTACAAGAAACATCTTTTTCACTATATTCTAACATTATAATTGGCGATTGTGCATATATATCACAAAAAGAAGGCAAAATCACATACCATAATTAGGTGCTGCCAGCTTATTCATTTCCTTAGGTCTCACTGTCATTTCTGCTTTGCAATGCCACGAGCAGCTTCAGTTTGACTGAATTCGGCAAAATTTTTTTCGTATTTTTTTTCTGCCAGCTTCAGTTTGACTGAATTCAGCTTCACGTTTTTGATTCGGCAAAAATGCATATTTTTTCAGTTTGACTTTCTGTGCTATGTGGATAAGAGTTACAACTAAGAAATTCACCATGAAAAAAAAGCTTACTGAGCATGTGAGTTTTCCAAACAGATGAGCCTAGTTGTTGGGTAACATATCTCAAATCTAGGATCTCTAATTGCAGCTTCCATTTGATTGATATCCATTGTTCCGTCTTCATTATTCTTCACTGTTCTTGGATGAACACCTCCAATTGTGGAAATACCTCCATTTTCATAAATGTGGATATGGCAACTGTCACCTAGAATTACCTCACTTCCCCTAATTGGACAATGTGTAAGCACACAAATAAGGTTACCCATTGTGCCTGAAGGGACAAAGAGGGCTGCTTCCTTGCCTGTGATTCTTGCCATCTCTGTTTCAAGGCGACGGGCAGTTGGGTCATGACTTAAAACATCATCATCAACTTCAGCATTTGCCATTGCAGTCCGCATGGCTTCAGTTGGTTTAGTCACTGTGTCAGATCGGAGATCTACCGTTCTTGTCACCATTTTGCACTATAATCAAGCAGAACAAAATGAACAAATCAAGACATGAGTTAAAAACAAGAATAAGTTATCTCCAGGCATAGGACTGCCATAGTTACATCATTCGAAAAAATAATAAATAAGACACTGACTCGGACCTGAAAATTAAACTACATATAACCAATCATGAAATGGAAATAAGCAATAACAGACATGTTGGAGATCTGTGTTTTTTCCTGAATTCTCTGGAAGGATCAGAATATGTAGACAATAAAAGAGCAAATAGATTTGTTGTCTTAGGAAGAAAGGTCTATCAGTGAACTGAGAAAAAAGAAAACAAAAAGGAAAACTGAAATCATGGACGTATGCCATAAAAAAAAAAATTTATTTTGCGCATGTGCGTGAGGAGCACTTGAAACGTAAGAAAACAAACCAGAAACTTTGATGCATAAACTGTAGTATAAAACGCAGAAACTGATGACAAGGCAAATGCAAGAAATGCGGAGTCTGATTCTGGATGCACTTAAACCTGAGGTCGTCTGGGTGACGCCTCCAATTTAGCATAATTAATCCATATCTTCCTAGGGATTTCTTGCAGGATACTAATCTAATTGCAGTTCAAGATTAAGCTGAAAAAGAAGAGAGATTTCTTCCACTTTCACATCTCTTTATCTCCTTTAGCAATGAATATCTATCCCATCCTCTCTCTCTCATTTCAGACAATTTCATGCAAAATTCATCTACTTTATACAAAGAACCAACAGCCACACAACATGCTCGGACGTTAATCAGTGCGCATTATATTTGATACCTTTTTTTTTATAGTTATTGAAGCAAAATCAGTCAGTGTTGATTGATATCTCCCTTCTTGAGTTCTTGATGCAGAGTTACAGAATCCAGCAACAATCAACCAGATTCACTCAACTGCACTCCAAACGTAATAAATCGGTACCAAAAAGGGGCAAGAGAAATTTATCACGAAAAGGTAAAGAAAATATGACAAAGATGATTTAAAAAGAAAAAAAAGATTAACCCACAAAACTGAGCACTTACGTGCGATGAAATTCAATCATGAGCACAGAAACAGAGCAGAATCAGTAGTTCTTGTCAAGTGGAAAAGACCCAAGATACGTATCTAAGTAAAGCACCACAAGATGAATCCAAGTGTATGACAGCTGAATCTTTGGTTCTCTTTCCCTTAAAGAAGCGAAAACCCAACCCCACCGCAACCTCAAAAGAAAGAAATGCATGACCTCTTTCGGGAACTTATTATTTCGTCATTTAATGAAAACAATTATCAAAAACAAGCATCATCTCATCACATGACAAAATACATGAGCTACACACATGGCACTTTACAGTCATTGAAAATGATGCATGCATGATAAGCAACTAGCGGTTGATAGAACTTCAATAAAGGCACCAAAATTCTCGTCTTAATCAAAAAGATTCTTCAGGTACATAGTTGAATTTGACACTTCCCTATTGGGCTCACCTTTGATATGATCAAGTGACTCTGTTGTGGCTCCTTTGTGTCTTCTTTCCTACCTTCCTTTTGTGTGTGTGTGGTTTTTTTTTTTTTTGGAACCAAAGTTTGGACTAACAATCCAAAAACATATATGGGATTTTAGGGAAACACGGTAAGTTTTGATCATCTATGCGTTGGAATGCAAATCTATTTATATACAAAGGTGGGTATGAATTATGAAAATTAATGCATCATGCATGAAGTTTATTCAAGCTGGAACATAAAATAATGGTAACTAGGAAGAAAAGTTGGATACTAACTCCAAACAGGTGGTAAAGGCGATGATGACTGGAATCCTTCACATTCTGGGCCCTTTTCTTATCGGTCTTATCTCTTGGCCCACCGAATACACGAATCACGAATGCGGGAAAGATATCTTACAGACGCTATTGATGTTTCAAATATTCAAATTCTTGACTGCAATTTGATGCACTAAAATAGCCCTTTCAAGCTTAACAAGCAAAATTGTCCACGGCCGACCGATCATTCTTGGAACTCCAGACCAATCTTTCCTAGAACTTCAGAAATCCTGGGAGCCGCCATTATGGTTTATTGACGCTCATAACAAAAGATGGCTAGTCTTTTGAGTTCAGTAGTTTCCTACCTACATTTCATTTGACAGGAAGGGACATTTGAGCCGGGTTTTAATAAGCCCATTAAAATATTTGGTTTCGATTCATGAGTTTTTTCTTTAAAAAAAAAATAAAGAGTTTTCAGCTAATACACGTAAAGTTCATATTTGATTCATAATATATTCGAATTTTGATTTCAATTCGGACTCAGTTTAAACTCACTTATTTTTTCTTAATTTTTTAATATAATTACTATAATCATTAAATAATATTAATTTGAAATCTGTAACATTAAAACTATACAAGTATATATACACCAATAAAAAGTTCATTAAAAGTACATAAACTAAACATTTTTCAATAATAATTGTACCTAATTCTTTTCAAATACATAGAAAATAATAATGAAACGTGAATAGATTACTAATAATTTATCTAATGAATCTAATTCTCTTCCTACTAATTACTAATATTTTAAGTATACATTACATATTAAAAAAATACATGTATATATATGTGTGTGTATATATACACACACAAATATATATATCCATACATATATATGGGGTAAAAATAAAAAAAAAACTCTGTGGTAAACCTATTATACAAATAAGCCCCTATAGTTTCAAAATATACAACACGGTATCTCATGTTTTGAACTAAATTGTAAACCTGACGGAAATCGGTAAAATTAACGGGACTGATATACTGAAAACTAAAAACAAATTTTTAGCAAATATTACTATTCTACCCCTTAGCCCCCAATAAAACTCCTAGTGATGTTTGAACCTCTCAATAAAACTCCGTGAAGCTGCCCTTAACAACCGCACTAGACTGTACCTGGTGTTCATAGAAATCCCCAGCCCATTCTTCGAGACTGATTGAACCTCAGATACTGGTGTTGAAGAATTTGTCCCACCCTCCTTCAAGAACGATATATGAACATTTTCCGTTGAAGCAGTACCCACCATAACTGGAGTTGGTGTAACTGTTTGCCCGGCTACTTTTATGGGACGAATGATGGGGAGAATTGGACGAATGTTTAGACTGTGAAATATCCCAGCAGAAGTTAGACATGTAAGAAGAGCGTCTTTTTTCGATGTCGTTATTAGTTAGATGAGTAGAAGGGGTGCCCAAGAAAAGAGTGCAATCAACAGAGGAAGACAGTAGAGATAATGCGAAGGAATACATTTTAGCAGTTTCATCAAAGGGTTTATTGTGATGGTTAGGCATAGAGAAGAGCATGGAGAAGAAATTGGCTTGATAAGTGTGGAACATGCCACATGAACATGGTCCAGCCATGTTTCCATGAGAGCCACCATTGCACCTATTACTGTGCATCATCGTTTGTTTTCTTTCTTCTTTCTTTTCCTGCTGCTGCTTCAATCTCTAGATGGATAAATAATCTCTTCAACTGGTCTTTCAATTTATAGGGCTAAGACAAAAGAATAAAAAAAATACTATTAACTATGGGTTTTGTGAGAATGAGGTAAAAACGATGGGTAATAATCAAATGGTTGAATGTGGGAGTAAGTTGAAGCTTAGGAGGAAGAGCTCGTAATGTTATATGAGTGTATGAGAGAGAAAAAGAGTTGGAGCCGGGCATTTTGGTCATTTCATCAGTGCCCGTTAATTTTATCAATTTTCGTCAGATTTACAATTTAATTCAAAATATGAGGTACCGTGTTGTATATTTTGAAACCATAGGGGCTTATTTATAAAATTGGTTTACCACAGGGTTTTTTTATTTTTTACCCATATATATATATACATACATACATATATATATACACATATATGTGTGTATATATATATGAGAGAATTGTAATTTTGATCCCCAATTTATAATATATGCGCGTAATTAGTTCCCAACTATTTCGAAAATCAATTTTGATCCCCAATCTATTCAATTTTGGGCTAAAAGTGGACAACTGATGAAATTTCTTCAATTTCAACCAGAACCAAGTCACGTGAGATCACGTGCCGGCACTAAAACCCCTTTTTCAATTTTTTAAATTTTTGAAACACGTTTTTTAATATTTTCAGTTTTGTCTTGCCTTTGGACATATTAAACAAAGACATGAAAGGCTAAAATTCACTAATCAAGGAGTTAGTAATCGTGTGTAGAAATAAATCACAAAATAAAGTAGGACGATGACATCCTCTACTTCCTTCTTTTCTCATCTTCTTTCTTCCAACTCAAGAACAAACCCTAGCAGCCTCAATCCCATTCTAATCAGACAAAAAAATTCATCATTCTGGCAAAAAATTGCAAGATCTAGGCAAAAACTTTGTGTCGAGTTTCTTCTATTTTCAATTTAGCTCCTCATGGAACCAATGAAAAATTGCGACTGCAAGCAGCAAGCAATAATGGTTACTTCTTGGACAAGCAATAATCTTGGGAGAAAATATTCCACTTATGCAATCAAGAAAGTATGGTTGTCTCTGTTTCTGATTTCGACTTTTCTATCTCTATTTCTCAGTTTAAAGCTAAAGTTTTATGATGTTGGCTGTGAAGAGTAACAGAAAAAAAGGATGCGATTATTTTAAATGGCATGATCCGAAAATATGTAGAAGGTCAACAGTCCTGATTCCTGGATTACTACGGAGCATGAACAGTAAGAATGCTACAATTGAGAGGCTAAGAGCAAGGGAAAGAAAATTATTGTTAGCAATTTTGTTGTTGGTACTTCTGTTGGTTATTGTGTTACTGGTGTAAAAGGCAGAAGGTTGGACAGTCTTGGTATCAACTAAGCAGCTTAAGGAAAATGTGTTAAGTATTAGGCTAAGCTAGATACTGTCTAAACTTAGAGATGAAAGATATTCATCCGGATTGTAATTTTTGTATTTTTTTGTTGGAATGGGTGAATGTGTAAGTTGTAATCTACTATCAGGCTAGTACATTTTGTTTTCTTGAATGAATA